CGGCATCATGGATGCCTTCAGAGCTGCGCTCGCTTTATCAACTGTCCAAGCGCTTTCTGCTTGTTTGTTTTTGCAAGTGGAATTACTGCTCCTTGCGGAAGACCACAGACGAAGGACGAGGTTAAGAACGGGGGAAGTACTGCCGCCTACAGGTCTGGCATGTCCTTAACAACGTATTTATCCGGGTACGTGTGGACAGAGTTTTTTTTAAACGAGGTGGTGTGGATGCAAGTTTTTGGAGGGGTGGATATTCGTTTTTTAAATAACCCGGCTACGTGTGGACTAGGCCTCAGCAGGAATCAGTGGATGCAGCAAAAAAACAGTTCAGCTTGGGGGAAACCACAAAGAGGCTACTGGTATGATACTGACAACCTATCATACCTGACAACCTTTTACTGTTGAACAAAGTTAAATGAAATTGCCTACTTAGATTTGATTTAAAACAGTATTTGAAATGCAGTGGATGACACGTTGTTTAGACTTTTTAATTTTGAAATCTGAAATGTGAAGTAGCAAATAGCAGGTTAAAATCATTAAAGTTAAAGTAGCATTATTAAAAATATAATTTATTCATTCTGATTGGTGATTGTATAATTCTGTTTCTGTTTGGTCCACATCGCCCAGCCCTATCCTGCAGTGCACGGGCCAGAACTGGGCCAAAGCAAACTTGTGTCAGTGTTCTGTGGGTGGGCCATTACTGGGCTGAGGGCCCAGCCAACAGTGGGCCAGTATTTAGGCAAGGGTGTGGCCCACAGATGGGCCAGACAGATGTTGCTATTTGGGTTCCCTTCTGCTCCGCGTGCACCTGAACTGGTCACCTGCAGCTTGTGCATAATCAAATGTCTCTAGGGAGCTTGCTGAGGAGGTTATGAGCTTCTGGATTTTTGCCTCAGACTCCTGGATGTTTAAATCTTGTTCTGGGTGAATCCGCGCTCCGCTGACACACTCGAAGCAGGAGCTGAATAACGACGAGCGCTACTTTAGCCAAAGTTTAAAATCGGGAAACATTTCTCCAAATGAAACAACCAGGAGTCTTCCAGACTCTCTGAAAGATTGAAGGGTTTCCACTTTACACTCAACACCGCGCTGTTGTGCACAATGTCGTCGCTGACGCTCTCTGAACTCCTCCTCAATGCGCTGCTTGCACGCCCACTATCAGCAGCGAGTGGCGGAGGAGGTGAGAAAATGCTCAGATGCGCTGATGGAGATCTTTTCTTGATTGTTACCTCCATGATGTTCTGTGCAGTACGTGTAAAACATTTGTCAATAACAAACTCACTCACGAGAAAACAAACGGCCTCCTGTAAAAAAACAAACAACGGTAACGGCTCAGCCCATCGCCGATGGTCGATGCATTCGTCCCATCGCCCAACCCTACTACCAACGGAGCTGTTTATCCTGCTTGTGCGGAGAGGCGGGATAAACTCCTCCCCCTTTTAATCAGGAAAATCTGGACGATCAAATAAATCTTTCAATTTCAGCTACATTCATGATGTAATTGCATCTACTGAAGACTACACTCGTGTGGGTCATGCACCGTGGAGTTATTAGTTATTAGGGCCAACATGGCTGGAATCCAACAGTATTTACTAGATAAATACTTTACAGGAGGAAAACATGGAGATGTATGTGGTATATCTTAATTCAGCTAAAAGACAGAGACGTACGTTTTGGTCCACATTGCCCAGCCCTACTCTGCTATATTAGTTTAAAATGACCTAGTTAAGGACTGAAGTGGAGGTGTTGTAGTTTTAAAGCTGAGCCAGTTCTGATGAGGCCTAAAAAAGTGCTTCAATCTGTTTCCTTTGAACTTTCACAAATCAAATAAAGGTTTAGAAAATCAGAAAGAGTCTTTTAAGGATTCTGTTATTGGTGCAGAATAACCCAGTCCAGGTTTGACGAGTCCAGGTGTTTACACTTATACTTAGAGCAGAGTAAAGATGCCAGGGGAGTGGACATATTGGTTGGAATTGTTCTTTCTGACTCTGGAACCAGAATAGGAAACCAACTTCAGCTTCGTCTGGTACTTTTTTTTTTCTGTAATAACTTAATCCCTTGTTCTTCAATAAACAAATAAATAAATGTTCAGATGAACAGGAGACATCTAGGTGATCCATAAGCAGGGATGGTGTGAGGACTTAACCTGATGTCCATCACATCTCCTGCTAACTCACTAGTGGTCTTATTTTATATCTTATGAGCTCAGACCACAGTAGCGGCCAGCAGGGCTGGACTGGGACAAAAATTCAGCCCGGGCATTTTGACTGGAGACCGGCCCATCACCTGTTTTATTTGGAAAATACATTAAGCCTTACGCTGTTTCTGACACACACCAACATACACTTTCTTATTGGTAATATTTATGTATCAATCTAATAAACGTAGACCTACACCATCCTTCCTGTCCTGGTATTCTAAAAAGTACTTAGTAAAAAAAAGACCACTTTATTAAGGTAACACCCCAACAATCTCTAACACTTGGTAGAAACCTGACATTAAAACAGAGAACTATTAATCTATAATGAATATTAATATAAAAAAATACATTTATAGAAATTTTCATTAACTGTTTATCACCACACCAACTAGGAAATATGTTTACAATACATTTAAAAAAGAAAGGAGACAGAGAAAGGCGAGATCAAATAACTTAATTGACCATTTAAGGTCTTTTTAGAGATGGTGCAGTATCTAGAAAATGTGGGGAAAATGCTGACATCATACTCAGTATTTACTTCTGTAACTATTTGTTAATATGTTGTTAATACGAGTTGCAGTATTTATAGCTATCCTGTTAGGGCGTGTAGTTGTTGGACGAATCTTTAACAAAACACATAATTAATAAATTATTTGTGTATGATTGTGTGCATTTAGAATATCTTAAAGTCTCCACAAACACTAACTTATGATTATTTGTATTTAATTCTACTGTACATTTCTGAAAATTTGTTCTGAAAAATAATTCATTATTAATAATTAATTATGAAATATTTTGTTTACAAATGAAATTCTTACCTTCTTAACTAAATATTTAACATCCAAACTAAATATTTAACTTTTTAACTAAATACTTTGATTACAAACTAAATATTTACTTTCTTATATATTTAGCATCCAAACGAAATATTTAACTATTTAACTAAATATTTTGTTTACAAACCAAATATGTATCTTCTCACCAAAATATTTCACTTTTTAACTAAATATTTCACTTGCAAACTAAGTATACATGTTTTTATAAATGTTAAATGTTTTACCAAATAGTTTGAAGTTGAAACATTTCTTAATGAATAAACAAAGACTTTGAAATATTAATTCCTCATATGACAGGCTAAATAACCAACATTATTGTTAATTTTAACTGTAACTTTACAAACAGCATCTCATGGAGGACAATATCAATAGAACTTTGAAGTTCTATGTATGTCCAATTTATAGTCAAATCAAATAAATGTTTATTTGAATAGTCGTAAATCACATCATTGGGAGAAGATTTTCACAATTATTTCATTTTAAGTAGTACTGCTAAAATGCAGAGACATATTTATTACTATTTTACTAGTCTATTAATGGTTTTTTCAATACTTTCTGCATAACAGGCCCTTTAAGAGCATTCATGATCTTTATGTGGCCAAAAATGAAAATGAATTTGACATCCCTGGTTTAAGTTCTACACATTTAAAATGAAAATAAGAAATAAAAGTATCCGTATAATAAACTGATAGGTAATTTTAGATTTATCCCATATTACCTTAAAGGACGACACACACACACACAGAGAGAGAGAGAGATTATTTGTAATGTCCGTGAATCGTCATGCGAGAGCTGGGCAGAAACCCCTCCATGGAGCTAACCAGCCCCCTCTGTTCCTGGGGAAGCCTTCAGCTCACCAGCTCTGCATGCCCGCATCCTCCACCAAGATGTTAGGTAATATTTAATCTCCATAACCCTGGAACCTGAAATAACACTCTTGACAACATGGAAGACATTTTACCCTGAGTCCCCCAAATAAAGGAGAGCTAACGCAGGGAAAAACCTCCTCCGAGGCTTTTCCCCACGTCACTCCCAAGTCTCCTCAGTTTCCCAGGGGCTTTATTAGCAAAGGATGGGGGAGAAGGCGGGGCCTTCTCAGGTTACAGAGGTACAGTTTTCAGTTGGAAACCCACAATCAACATCCTTGCTCAACCTTTCATGAACAGCCACAGTTGGAAAACACAGAGATTCATGGTGTTAACACAAAATGGGCATCTTTCAGGCCTCAAAAAGGTACAATTATAAAAATACCCAACATAAACAGTAAGATGAATTATTGTAACTGACTTTAAAAAGTTAGCAAGCAGGACGATGACAAACTACACCTGAACTTGGTTTATATTTGACCCAGATAACTTCTTACCTGAAATTCGGTTCTGCCACTTAGGCAGGCAGCCGGCTCGGTTTCTCCTCCTCCTCCCTCTTTTCTTCTCCAACCTGTCGCTGGGCTGAGGCTCCATCACTTCCTAAATTGATTTTACTTGAACCTTCACTACCAAACAACTGAGATTTTAACACATGTGCCAGCATCAGCCTGAAGGGCCAGTTTCTTTTTTAGTCGAATTTTCTCCGCTCCTCCTTTCCGTTTTTTGTTCTCCATTTTGTTAAGCTCGCCTGTCTGTTTACTGAGATTCACAAACAACTGGTGGGTGCATCAGACCTCTGGCTATTGGTCCAGCCCAGAGTGTATTATGACCAATTGGCCAATCCACCGACTTTTATGAGGCGTCGCGTGGCGCGGACAAGTTGTCCGCAACAACTAGAGGCCAGAAAAAAAACAGACACCGGCCCATAAAAGATGAAAGGGTCGGCCCAGCGGGCAGTTGCCCGCTATGCCCTATGGTCAGTCCAGCGCTGCTATGCTGTGTGAAGCATAGCTGTTCTTTCTAATTTAATATGACTCCTAGCAAACAATAGGGACAAATAAACAATATGAAATAATATCAATATCAATAAATATCAATAAACAATATCAAACATAATTTTATTGAATTTAATCATTAAAAAATACAAATTTCCTTCTTCAAAAATGTTTAAAATCACATAAACTTGAAAACCAAAACCCCAGAATATGTCTGAAAATTAGATTCAACAGAATAAGACTGTAATATGGTCATATGTGTTCTCCAACTCTATAAAGAGCCTAGGTGTCATCAGCAAACTGCTATTTTCCAACAACTTCGACATTAAATCTGCAATTCCAAGTCTACAAAACAAGCCATCGTCCTTGGGCCATGGCCGCCTCATAACAGAGGAAACACCATTTTTTTCATATAGCACCTGTCAAGATAACAATCACGAGGCCCTTTTTATTAACAAAAATTATAAACATTATTTTTAAAAATATTGTAGTAAAAAATGGGCAACAAGGGAAATTTTAGATGAAAAAATGTGAAGGAAGAAAAAATTTATAACAAAAATGTAATCATGGGATACCAAGAAAGACTGAACTGGCAGAAACAGCAGCATGAAGAGAAGCTATTGAGGAAGAAGAGGAGGTCCCACCAAAGCCTGAACAGGTGAGTTTAAAGGAGACCACTGAGTCCACTGATCTCAGGCTCAGGGGGAGAGAGGTCCAGAGTCTGGGGGCCACAGCAGCAGATGGTCTGTCACCTTTGGCATTCAAAGCCGATTTATATTACTCAAGAGTGTGGAGTCGCGCACATGCACTGATGGAGATGCTTTGCTTTCAGACTTCTCCATCCATGGACGTAATTTTCACTTTAGAAGTGGGGGGGTGGGGGGTATCTTTACAGTATGTTCTAATGGGAAACAGGCTTCAACACAAACAGTTGTTTTCTGCTTGGTCCTAAACCTCAACCAGTGTCAATTTAATATAAAGTAATATTGTTTTTGGATGGTAAAAAGCGCAGGGGTCAAAACTCGACTTTGGAAAAAGTGGGGGGGACATGTCCCCCCTGTCCCCCCCCCAAAATTACGTCCATGTCTCCATCACCTTTGAAGGGCTGCAAAGCTATTCCCAGCTCAGACAACAGAGTGCGTAGCGCTTGTGTGGGGTATCCTGCACCATTACAGTCATGTATCCATCCATAATACTGTATTTACTATGGATGCTTGATATTGACTTTTCTACCTAAATCCCATCATTTCTAACTCTTAATTTCCCGGAACCGATATAAACCGATACATGCGAGGTCCCACAAAAATAAAAAATAAATAATTTAGGTTCCTAATATCACATATCTCCTATTATGCATGCTTAAGTTTAACACTTTATCTGTTCAAAATCGCACCTACTTTCGTTTTAGTTAGTAACAGAATAAAAAGTGTCATGTTTAGCTTGTCTCCAACAGCAGCTGAATGGCATGCTCCCTGAGATAACCCCAACTGTAACCCTGACAAATGATCTTAGGCCAAAGAGCATTTTTAAGTTCATGATGGAAAAAAGTTTGAATAATAAGTTAATAAATTGTACAAGTGAAATAAAGTTGCAGTTTGTAGATTCCTGGAACTAGGGGTTAGTACATACACACTGTACAATCCAGGGTAGTTTTACATGATATCGCCATGACTGTTGCTAGCTGGAAAAAACATTACGGTAAATGTTGTTGCCTGTGGGGTGTGACCCCTCAAGACTTTCATAGTCCTTCATTTAATTCCATTGAGAGAATGTAATGCTGATGCTAGTTTTCTGGCGCTGTAGTTTCCAGATCTGCTCGGGGTCCTGCACCTGCCGATGGTGTCAAACTACGCCAATACCACTCGGCCAAAATATATTCCATCTCTTTGTCGATTCTGTTCTTTTACATAGATTTTGGGAAAAAATTTGTTGTTAAATTTATGCTTCTTACCGTCTGAATGTTTTCGAATGTGTGGTCGAATGGTCTAGCCCCCTTATACCTGTCAGAGCTGCCCCCCCCCCCCCGGTCACTAAGGTCTGCTGATCATCTGTTGTTCAAAGTCCCTACAATGGAGTATAATGCTCGTGGGGAGCGTGCGTTCGCCTTTGCTGCTCCCAGACTCTGGAACGCACTCCCTCTGGTGGTACGCCAGGCTTCTTCACTGGCCCAGTTTAGATCCAGCCTGAAGACGCATTTTAATTTAGCTTTTGGTCAATGATCGGTCTTTTATGCTGTGACTCTCTTCTGTTTTTACTGACTTCTGTTTTTACTGACTTCTTTTTTTATTGGCTATTTTAAACATTTGTTTTGATTTTAGGTGTTTCTATTTTATGATAGTTTTTATCTGTGTTTAATGTGTATGTATGTGAATTTGAATGGCTTTTTAGGTTCAACTCTGTGCAGTGCTTTGGTCAGCTGACATGCTGTTTTTAAATGCGCTATATAAATAAAATTGGATTGGACTGGATTGGTAACATAACTTCCATAAATCATACATTCACCCAATAGTCTAGTGTGATGTCGTCGGCAGGCGGAGGACCCTGAGGTGGCCAGAAGAAAACATGGCACCTAATAAGGCGTGCCCCAGAGACTTGGACCTGCCACCCTTTAGACCAGATTTTTAAGGTCATATATTTTATAACAACTGGACATCATTTATGGATTTTCAACAGCATGATGGACAAACACGCTAATTTTGCTCTATTTGTTTGTGCCTCAGAAAACGTTTGTCTTTATAAGTATTGATTTGTTTAGGGAATGTTTGGCATCACATCTGTTATATTTCGGCACGAGGTTTTGATGTACAATATGGAACGTAAAAGCGGGGCAATTAAAGGAGTAAAAACCGATGCAGATATGTTCCAATTTTATATTTTTGTTCCAACATTGGCCGATGATATTAGTAGACCGATACTGGAAATCCCTAGTATTTACTATTGTCTTTATGTTGTGTTTATGTATTTCAGAGACTTTTTAACACAGAAAAATTTGCTCATCATTCTCTAAACTCATGTTTCCCTTCATTTCCCTCCATGTATAAAATGCTCACATTGCATCTTTGTGTTCCTTCAGTCACGGGTGAATAAACGTTCACTTTAACACTTTTTCCACAAGACATTCTCAATTTGCTTTGTGTCTGCCACTAAATATCTTTGGCTTATTTTGTGATGGGGCAATGGCAGTGCTGAGCAATCACAAGCTTGAATACTTACTATGAAATCAGAATGTAACCATAGAAATACTACTTGGGGTGTGTGTGTGTGTGCTCTGTCTTCTCCATCCCCAGTGAGTCGAGGAGGATGGCCGCTTATACTGAGCCAGGATTCTCTGGAGGTTTCTTCCTGTTAAAAGGGAGTTTTCCTCTCCACTGTCGCTGCATGCTTGCTTAGTATGAGGATTGCTGTAAAGACTCTGACACTAGTCTGTGACTCGATGCGACCTGTTGGGTTCCTTATATAGGAAACTTTTTACTGATAGGCTTAATGGCCTGACCTGTGTTGTTTACTGTGTGAAGGTCCTTCAGACGACTCTCGTCCTGATTTGGCACTTTATAAATAAATTTGAATTGAATTGAATTGGACTGGATTGGATTGGATGGTGCCTCAGTCTGCCTGTGTATTTGCAGCTCTCATGTCTGGGGCTGGAAGTTTTCTTCTGCTGGCTTGCTCCTGGTGTCTGCCTGGTGGGGTCTGGGCCCCTGGGCTCTGTCAGGTCTCCGCCGGGGTTGGACGCCTTTGGGTCCCGCCCCACTGAGTTCTGAGCTCAGCCTGCCCTGGAGTGGGTGGCTGAGGGCGGGCCTGGGGGCTTGTTGTTAGAATCTCCTGGTCCTCTGGACGGTCCTCTGCGCCTCTCGGGAGAGGTGTTGGGCTCCGACGGCAGTCTCCCTGTGGTCTCCACGCTCTGGGGAAGACCTGTGGATCTCTAGGGCTTGGATCTCCATCTTCTGTGGATCTTTTGGGGCAGGTTGGTGGCCCCACACACTCACTATCGGACACTCCTATAGAGAAACCTTACATACACAACCACGTGTATGCACACAGGTGCTCACAAGTAAGGGCTGTGGTTGGCACTAAATGCACTATGAATTATTACAGTGTGCTTTCCAGCAAAAACCTCTACCGTTAAACATCCTTATGTTGTTGGCGCAGTGACATTTAGGTTCTGTTGTACTTTTGTGTGTGTGCCTTTTATATTCCCTCTCTTATTCTGCAGGTCTAGAAGCAAATTCTTGTACATCCTTAATTGTCTATTTTTGGAACATTTCCCTCCACCTCTTCCTTTCCTTTCCTCTCCTCCCTTTCTCTTTCATTTCCGCCGCACTGTCCGTTGGGATTAAAAACAACCAAAGGCATTTCTAATAAAGTTTTTATATCAGCCGGGGCATTATAGCTAAATCCTTAACGCTCCACATTTGAACATAGAACTGTAAAGCTCGATTTTGGCACAACAAATCTGATTGATTTACAGCTGGACATGACATGGGGAAAAAAAGATGGTCATGAATGTTAAGTGTGATGTAGATCTGTCAGGCTTTTCTAATCCTGGAGTTTTGAAGTCTGTCTTCTATCAGAAGCTAATGCAGAAGATAGGCTGCAGGTTCAGCTTGCATGAAAAACTCACAGAGACCAATTATAATCATAAATTTCCCTTCAAAATGGCCTTTCACTGAACCACACCTTCAACCGACAGCCAGTGAAGCTGGAGGAGAAGCGGGGTGATGTGGGTGTGTTTGGAGGACTTGGTCAGAAGCCGAGCACAGGCGTTCTGAACCACCTGTAGACGGTTCAGGGAGGTTCTGCTCAGACACGTGAAAAGAGAGTTACAGTAGTCTAAGCGTGAGGAGATGAAGGTGTGGAGAACTGTCTCAAGTTCAGAGCGGGACAGAATGGGACTCAGCTTAGCAACGTTCCTGAGATGGAAGAAGGAAGAGCCAACAAGAGAACTGACATGAGAATCCAGGGTGAGAGCTGGGTCAAAGGTCACGCCAAGATTCCTGATGGAGGGTTTGGTGTGGGAAGTAAGCTGATCAAGAGAGTCTCTGACTTTGGGAACCAGCTTGTCTGGGGCACAGATGAGGATCTCAGTCTGATCTTCATTCAGCTGAAGAAAGCTCCCACCATCCAGGTTTTTATAGAGTCTAAGCAGGTGTGTAACAGCTGCAGCTTAGACATCTCATGGGGCTTAAAGGAGATGTACAGTTGGATGTCATCTGCATGAAGATGGTAGGAGACTCCTAAAAGAGCTCAGCATGTACTAGAGAGCATTGTTGGTTCTTATTTAAAACACAGTAAAGGTTTCTTTTTACCTTGCTTACAGTTTCGTTCGCGGCTGCAAACGTCCTCAGAGCTGACGCTGGTGGTGGCGTCACTTCCCTCTCCGTTTATACGCGGAGAGGGAAGTGACGCCACCATCAGCGTGTTTTAAATAAGAACCAACAATGCAGTTAGAAACGCAACACAGCAAGAACATACCAAAGATCTACTGGAAAGGAAGCTGTTAAAAGAGAACCGGTAGAGGCCCCAGCACAGAACCTTGTGGAACACCATGGGTAAGAGAGGTGGAGGAGGACCTAAACTTGGAGATGACCACAAAAAGGGAACGTTCAGACAAATAAGAGGAGAACCACTCCAAAGCAGATCCTGATAGGCCTGCCCAGTCTCTCAGCCTCTCCAGTAGCAGGTGATGGTCAACAGTCAGGTCCAGCAGGACCACAACAGAACAGTCCCCTGCATCGGTGTGAGTCAGAAGCTCAGAAGGAGAAAGAGAAACAGCTGGAGTTAGTGGGCGTAAGTTAGCAGGGTTTGATGCAAAGTGTTTGTAAAGTTTCCCCCTTTTCCTCAGAGTTTTCACCAGAATCGGAAAAACGTCCCAAGAGGTGCTTGGCTTGGATGGAGTGGTTAGCTTGGGTCCAACACCCCGCAAACAAAAACAAAGCTAAAGGTGAATCCAAAGGGCCTACTGGACAATATTGGATGATCAAAAAGACAAGAGTCTGGAGATTATCTGAGATGGTAGCCAGGACATTGACGAAGAAGAGTGCAGACAAAAGCAATGCAGAAAGGCAAAAGTTAGCAGAAAAAAGTTTGAAAGAGTGGATAATAACTGTGACAGAGCAGAGTATAGCCATATTGTTATTGGCCAGAAGCAGAACTCGCATTGCCAAAGTAGACAAGATAGTGCTAAACACCAGTCATAATTTTCTAGGTCCAAACATATTTTGTTGTCTGTGACTTCAAGTGGGTTTGTTTTTGGGGTCACTGATAGTTGTTCCTAAAGTTGAATTGGTAGGAGCCGGCTTTTTCTCCTTCTCTGGTTCATTTGAAAAGCAAACCTCTCACACCAGTGGTGCTCTGTTGCTAAATACGTGAGTGCGTAAGGAGTAGAGGACCCAGGGAAGTGTGGAAGTCCGGTGGTTCAGTGAGACCGAAAACCGGATGGTCCAATGGTTGACTTCGGCCCGAGCTGTGTCATTGATGGAAAACAAAGGCCACAAAATATTTATAACTATAACAAGTTGTTAAGAGGCATGAACATGTGTTTTAAGCTAGCTTGTTCTGTAATTTGCTATTGTAGCTTTAATTTTCAATTTATTTTATCAAATCAGAATAAAACAATTTTTTCTTCAATAATTAAAAATGATTTCAAATAAAAAAGTCGAAGAGTGAAGGAAAGGAGGTGATGAACATTCCTCCTACTCTGACATGAAACCAGGGTTTTCCTGTTTAATGTAGTTTCTTAATGGCCTGTGGGTAATACTTGAGAAATATTCTGTGTGCAATCTCGTACGTGTCTCCCTGAGGTTTGGTTGGGTACTTCCTACCATTGTAAATAAATCCTTTTTCAATCTGGAAAACAGCTTGGTTGAAAGTGTCCTGATTAAAGGGTACGCCACTGTCCAAGCTCTCCACCAGTGTTTGGACAAACAGTACCCATCTCTGAGCATAGTAGTCTTCTATAAGCCCTCCCCACTGTTTGTTAGCATAGTCAAGAATCTCACCACTAGGACCCCACAGGGTCACCTGGTTTCTGGCATTCATGTCATAGAGCTGAGCCTCTTTCTCATTCAGGGCCATGGACTGGGCCTGCTCCAGCCATGAGCCCAACAGAAACCTCTGGTTGCTACTCAACAAACGATTGAGCTCAGGCAACAGGTCATAAATTAACACACCACCTGCAATCATCAGCTCAGACATCTTTTTACTCTGAAAAGCGTTAACGATATCCAGGTAAAAATGCGTTGTTAGGACTTGTAGGACCTGCCGAGTCACATCTACAAGATCATACTGGAAGGTCTCTTTGGACATAAGAGAAGGAGCCGCTTCCATAAACAGCTTCCAGGCTTCAACCAAATCAGCGGGGTCATACCAAAGGCCAGTATTCATGCGAAAGGATGGCCTGCGCACAAGCGGGCTATGGTTGTGGTTTATATAATTAGGGACAGTGCAGTTGTAAACGCTGGCAAATAATAGCTTCCAAGCAGCAGTCAGATTATCCTGCATGCTGCCATAGCGGCGTGCTGCATAGAGGGACACCCACTTGGCTAAATTGACAGGCTCCTTGCGCCATGCCAACTCACTCATCAACTCGTATATAACTGGATTCTGTTCAATACCCTCCGGTGTCATACCTACTCCAACCATAGTTGAGTTAGGAAAAGTCAAGGCCTTGAATGGACCTGAATTGATGCTTTCAACTGTGCCATAAAAGCCGTGGTTCCCTCCAAAGTTGTGCAGCATACACCAAATAAATGGCTGTCCATAGAACGACTCCGTGTATGAGAAAACTGGATCAGTCTCTGCAAACAGATCTAGCACAATCATTCTACCAAGTGGTACTCCATGCAGTAGTGCTTGAATCTGTGCTGGCTTCCAGAATGAAGGATCGCTGTAGAAGAGCCAGCCTTGCATCAGCCAAACAGCGTCAGGGTCCACTGACAGGTGGAAGGGTTGGGTTGGGGTTTGCATGCGAGTTAAAGAGAAGACAGTTTAACATGGGTCACTTGACTAGGACAATTCTTCTATAGTGCATGGTAAACAAGTGGTAACAAAACAAACATTCAGACAGCAGTTCAGACCTGCAGCAGTCTGGTTCATGACTTTCAGTAAGAAGACCATCCAGGGACTTACCTGCAGTCATTGAGGCAAAAACAGAGCGACTGATTGCAGCTAGATAAGCAGGATCTGAAGATGGGGGGGTCATCTCATTGAAAGTGTCAGTATTGTAGATATGATCTGTGCCAAATTGCTTTACCACTTGAGCCAGATAGAGGGAGCCAATCTGGAGAAAGAGTGGATCTCGTGGGTCTAGGATGTAGGAGCAAGAGTAGCTGCAGTTGAAATGAGCCCATGGTCCCAGAATGGTAACGTTGGCTTGTGGATACAACCTAAAACACATAGACACAACTGTTACATTTATCTGAATCAGAGAATCAGAGAGAATTTTATTGCCAGCGCTCCAGCGAACCAGAGCATAGGAACTTGACTCCACAGAACAGCCTGACCAAGGTTACACACACACACACATAGACAGAACAGATACAGGCAGACCACGAGAGCAGCCATAACGGCGCTCATTTCAATAGATGAAGAGGGGATTACATGAGGAGAATTGGGGGAGGGAAAAAAAAGGCAGAGCAGAGTTACACCCGGTAGGGAGTAGCTCTACTATGCAAAAAAACACCTCAACATGTAAGCACGAACATCACAGTGCACAACATGAGACCCGGTGGGGGGGTGGGGGGCTGGGATCCTGGTTTCCTCAGCGGGAGCAGCCCGTGTGGCGCTCAGCCAACTGTATCCACAGGTGGGTGGGAGGTCATGGGAAAGCACAGAGCGCATTGACTTCCTCCATTTTGATGACCTCGCTATGCAGAGACCACAATCTGAAGGCGGGGGGGTAGGTCGGGTTTTCACAGCATCTCTCTGCATTCCTTCCATCGTAGGGGTTGATTGCACGCAACTCCAAGGCTGCTATGGCGTCAGATTGGATAACAGGACTTTGTTTGGGTCAGGCAGAGATAATTTTCCACTCTGCCTTAAAGTCTGTATTGATCATTCAAGTCCTCCAGTGAAGCCAGTTTAGGTTTTAAACATCACCACACCGTCCAGTGACCCTCTCCGAGATGACATCCATTTTGCGCACTAACACCGGTAACGCAGCTAGGACATTGTCCAGCTTACGATTCACCTCGAGTAACGTCCCAGTCTGTGAGGTCTCCGCCCGGGCGGTGCTTCCCGTGGGTGCGGGTCGCCCTCCAATCGCTCCCGTCTTCCCAAATTTCCAGAAAACCAGATATCCTCCCACTCCAATCAGAAGAAATCCAGTGATCATCAGGCCAAATATCCACACATCTTCGACGTCCTCAATGGACAGCTGAGAGAGACAAACGATCCTCCAGACCTTCCAGGAATCGAGCGCATATCCCGCTGCGTGTGTCCCTTGAGGGCAGGTGGGAGCCCCCTCCTCCTTTCTCATCGTGGAAAAGATCTTATCAATCGCATTGAATGACCAATTAATTAAATCCATTTCTAAAAAAAAATAGGGAATCCCAGAAGAAATGCAGAGAAGCGCTCTGTAGGCAGACGGGACAAAGAGCCTTGGGAAAAAAGATAAGGGAGCAAAAAGGGAAGCGACTGTGCTCTGTGAGTGCCAGAAGAGAAACACTCTAAAAAACACATTCATTCAGGCGGCCCAGAAAAACGTCCAGGCTTGGTAAAAACATGCATGAAAAACTCAAAATGTTATTTGTTAACTCATTCACTGCCAATGACGACTAAAGTCGTCATTTTAGATCCAACCGTTCACTGCAAATGACGACTAAAGTCGTCATTTGCATTTTTTACTGTTTGAGCATCAGAACGAGCCCCAGCGCTGAGAGAACAAGCATCTCAGCCCTGAAGCCGATCTTCATCCGCATACGTCACACGTCACATGATCAGGAAGCAGACCATCCATGTATTAGGAGATCGTTTTGGGCCGTTCCTGTAAAAAACAGTGAGGCGCGAACCGGAAAAGCGTCTGCCGATGACAGTTCAACAACAGATTGTGAAAGAACGGATAACGCTCGAAACAGATGGATTCTTCCTGATGTAAGAGGTGAGTCTGTGCTTTGTTTTGGTTGTTTTGGCGTCGACATCATGCTAGCGCGCAACGTTCTGTGACTCTTAAAAAAACAGTAAAAACGGTGAGAAACGCTGGCAGTGAAGGCCGTTGGCAGTGAATGAGTTAATAAATACAAATAAAAGCAATTCTGAACTCTATTTTAAATCCTCGCATCAGAGTAATACCTTTTAATGTTTACAATGCATGATGGCATTTTTGTCATGTTTACAAAAGTAATACATAAAAAAAATCTATGAAATGTAACCAAAAAAAGGCAGACATTGCTTTTCGACAATGCTTCAACCGAATTATTGAAAAAAGTAAACTAATGGAACTAGGGATGGGTACCTTTGACATTTGAATCGATACCGGTACTTAACGGTACCAATTTATGATACTTTTGAGTGTTCATTAATTATTAAAATTGGGTTTAATTAAATATATATTATTTTCCCAATATATAACCATATTTGAAAAATATGGTACATAACATACAACTGTTTGTATTTTATCATCGTAGTGTTGTATACAATTCTTCAACATGAAAACCTTTAACAACAGTTTCTACGTGACGCAAAACTAAACCAGCTCCATGTACTCCTAATCCTTTTCTAATCCCTCTGGACAAACGGTGTGGTGGTGGGTCCTTGTAGTTTTACAAACTGCGGATTACACTTAAACAAACATATCTGCTGTAAACTACATTTACTGTGTATCTTCATTCCTTTTGCCGTTAATTTTCAAACTCTTTATTTTTCCTACTCAGAAGTTGGAATTTTCAAGGAGAAAGCGAACGCACCATTAGCCACTGTGCAAAAACCTAGTTTGGACATCCTACAGACGTGGTCTGGACCGACAGACTCAATATAGACATGATCTACACGTCCATACGACGTTGACTGTTTGCAGGGTAGCTATGTAAACAAAAGCTAAACTATCAAGCTAACGTCATCTTAAAAAGTTTATTTTGCTGCTGGAGCAGATTGAGATGCCTCATACTCAGAACGTTGTCGCTGGTTTCATCATCTCCCAACAGCCGATCACATTTAGTGAAGTGAAGCCAAACTTCAGAGCGCGCTTGCTTTCTTCTAGTCGGCATTTTGGAGTTCCGAGGACAAAGCGAACGCACCATTAGCTGAACGGAAGCTAACATATCAAGCTAATGTTATCGTAAACAATTTATTTACGTACCGAAGCAGATTAAGATGATGATGCCTCACTTAGAGGCTGGTTTCATCATCACCCAGTTACCCATCCCACTTAGTGAAGTGGACCCCAAATTCAGAACGCTTCCTCTCTGCCATGCTGCTTTGTTCACAGCTCGCCCACAGTGACTGACGACGTTACGCTCTTGCGCCGGCGCAGCACTGTTTCATTAGACGTGTCTGTGCCTTAAAAAGTACCGAGTTTGGTACCCATCCCTACATGGAACAAGCCTGGATGAAAATGAGGGTACCCCTAGAAAGGACTAAAGTAAAGTAATGTGACTAAAGGGACATGTTAGTTCAAGGTGTGTCCACTAATTAGCATCACAGGTGTCTACAATTTTTATAATCAGTCAGTGGGCCTGTATATAGGGCTGTGGGTAGTCACTGTGCTGTTTGGTGACATGGTGTGTAACACACTCAACATGGACCAGAAGAGGCAAAGGAAAGAGTTGTCTCAAGAGATTAGAGATAGAATTATGGATAAGCATGTTAAAGGTATAGGCTATAAAACCATCTCTAAACCGCTAGATGTTCCCGTGACTAAAGTTTCACACGTTATTCTGAAATTTCAGATCCATGGGACTGTAGCCAACCTCCCTGGACGTGGCCGCAGTGGGTACATTGACGACGAATCAAAGTGACGGATAATCTGAATGACAGCAAGAGGGCCCAGAAAATCTTCTAAAGAGAACCAACTTGAAACTCGAGGAACATCAGTGCCAGATCGCACCATCCGTCATCGTTTTAGCCAAAGTGGACTACGTGGGAGACGACCAAGGAGGACACCAACATTGAAAACAAATCATAAAAACGCCAGACTGGATTTTCCTCATGCACAACCGGATGTCTTTTCAGCCCTCTTCTTGAGGCGGTCTGCCTGGAGCCTAACTGGTCCAACACAGCCACTGTTGACTGCGGAGATGTGCTCATAACATCACCGATATCTATTTTCCATGCCAATTTTGGAGACCGCCCATGTGCTCAATCCTGTCTGCTTTCCTAAGGCAGTGTGGAACGAACGCGGCCAGGCTGGGGCGGAGTGGAGTGGGGCGGGTAATTTTCCCATTGAGACTCATTTCTGGTTGCATTTTCAGATGAGTACATTAAAATATTTTCAAAAGAAGAGGCTGCAAACTGTGTCAGTAGGTTACAAGTTTGTAATGTCAGTTGTACAGTGAATATGTGAATAAATGTTCACCCAAAAACAGTCTCAGAACGACCATCTCCGTACGTCTCTGGTTAATAATTTGGTAAATAATAATAAATACGTTTGAAGATAACAGGAGTGCACATTTTGTAGACTGCAGTTCGTCCAACAGCCACATGGTGCAGACCAACGAGGGGAATTTTCTCCTTCGAGCTGCCTCGGAACAGGGTCATACTGATAGATCCCAAAATGGGAAGTCACATAGGCAAGTTTTGTTCAGCATGTTAGATGTTGTTCACCCTCTGATGTTTGTTGAGAGGGTGCACACCAGGCTTTTATCTGGGATGAAGAATGGAATTACATAGATGCTATACGGATCATTAGGAATAGCGTAATTTGATATGAATGGAGTACTCAATCTAATTAAGCGGAGGAAAATCTTTTCCAAATGAAAGTAGCTTTCTGACAGGAGACACAAGTGAATGACTCAAAAGATGCTAAATGGAGTAAATCAGGATTTAAACAGGTTTACTTTTCGTCACATGAATCAGGAAGGAGGACAAGAGTGGTGACTTTGATGTCAAGCACAGTAAATTACAGAGGTGCACCGAAATGAAATATCTTAGCCGAAAACCGAAACACTGAAATAAACTACAGTATTGACCCGAATATAGGACGAGGTTTTTTTCATTGAAACTAATTTTAAAATGTGCGGTCGTCTTATAATCGGGGTGTAAGCATTTACACGTGCTGATATTTGTCTGGGAGTCTTTACACGCCCGTAACAGCAGAGGGCGCCAGGCTGTACGTCCTCAACAGGAGAAAAAAATGGAGACGAGAGGTCCAGAGCAGAGTGGACCAAAGGTGGGGCAAGTTAACAAGCTAATTTTAAGATGACATGGCCAATTCAGCAGAGGCGTTAAAAAT